TATTTAAACTTTCCATGTTTCCCTTAATGAGATACTTTATAACTATATAAAAATTTTATCATTTATTTTTGACCATAACATTTTTTTTAAAAAATAAATAAATTATGAGGCCAGTCAACTACTTCACATAAATTAAAACAGAGGAAGTACTAGCTATTAGTCTTCATTAAGAAACTAGGGATGTAACAACTAATACAATAAAGTAAATTATGTGATTAATTTCAAGAAATCTGACAGCGATAGGCAATTTATTTAGCTGGCTCAAAGTGGAAAGCAGAATTATTATAAAGTCCTACAAGCCAAAACAATTTTTAACTGCAAACTTGAGGAAATAAATACGTAAAATGTGAAAAATTTTCTTTCATCTCTTTAGAAAAGTTTCCCCTTACGTGTTGATCTAAAAAAATAGTATATGTTTCCTTTGCTAGACTCAATTGAGAAATGTGTTTAATGCATAGTCATAAATTTACAATGATTTTCAACCCTAGACAATGACCTTTCTTGCATTTTTTTCCACTAGGTGTTAATTTTTTCTTTGCTCAATCTTTTCTTTTTGTTTTAAGTTTGATGTTCGATACCTATATTGGAGTTCCAATTAATTTGAATTCATAAATTTATCATAAGAAAAAGTACTCTCATCAAGAATTTTCTTATTTTCATTATCGAAGCCGAAATCTCTGATTATGGTGGTTGTTTGCCCAATCTCTTTAAAATCATGTCTATATGAAGGCATAAAATAGGTGTCAATATCTCCATCTACTTGCTTTCACATTACTATATTAAATTTTGTATAAGGCTGAAAGATATAAAACGTGATAGAAATTCTTATCCTCCAAAAAGAGATAATTAAACGTGATAGAAATTCTTATCCTCCAAAAAGAGATAATTATTGAAGCACAATAATATTAATAAGATCGATAAATTAATTTGATTATGATAATATAATTACACCTGTTTTGGTTTTACTGTCAAATAATTCTCTCTCGAACCAACCCTAATTAGAAGGCATAAAAATGAAATAATTACAGTCTTAGTTTTTGGACTAGGCAAATTATGAATAGTATTGTTTAACTATGTATTTTATTTATAGATGAGGCAAACTAGATTTTATTTAAAACAAAAAAAAAAAATCAACTCTATTATATATGTTAATCACTTTTCCTCTTTTTCTCCTTTCTTTTGGGGCTTAAGAATTGTAAATCATCTAAAGATGGATTAAATAAGCAATTTTTTTGGTTTAATTATTGGCTAAAAGCAAAAGTTAAAGCAAGACTTTATAAAGTGGCATTAGCACAAACATAAATAATTATTAAATCTTCCTATGAAAGTGATTCTCAATAATGCTAAACATGATTAATATTCTTTTGAAAAATCAAATACGCAAGATTTTTATATTTGCTTTCATGCAACGTAACCTTAACAGATTTTTTTTCCAATAATTAATTATTATCGTCCTTTGCATTTAAAACATTGTGGGGTTAGTTTGGCAAGTTGCATGGACAAAGTTTCATGCTATGGATTAGAATGCCACATATATTAAACATGGATTTTCAATTGGTTCAACTTATCCATATTAGTTGGCTTTGGGGACCCATTAAATAGGGTCCACAATGAGAAATTTCTTGGAAAATTTTAATAATATTTTTTACGAAGAATTAATTTAAGAAACTACGCCCATCCAACTGCTTAAACTAATTCTTTCCTAGAAATCTTTCCTATTTATTTTTTCTAGTCGATATATATAAATTATATACTGATTATATATATGATATGTGTATAATCAGTATATAATTTATGTATATTGACTAAAAAAAATAAATAGGAAAGATCTCTAAAATTCACATACTTCGTAGTTTAACAAAAAAATAGAGAACATTCGACGTATTAGAATAATCGTGACCAGGTACTATAATTTATCCATACTAAAATTCAAACTCATGATACTGCAATTTCGAGTTGTGCTTTATTGAAAACTCAGTTGCTTCGAGAAATTTATAACGGTTTAACAATTGACTAGACACCAAAATATAATTCTTAAGCAAGGAATTAAAGAAATGGTGACACCTAATTATTTTAAGTACTTTTATGACACATCACAGTAACACTTTGGTTTCTTCCCAAACACTTCAATGCTTAAAATCAACATTTCACAATTTAGTTGGCATTTCACATTATAATCGTAACCAACCATTACCCAATCAATCATTTTTAATTCCTTTTTTCCGACTTTATTTTCTCTTTTTAATTAAAATAAAAAAAAAACACGTAATAGTTTCTCTATAGTTGAAAATTTACGTAAGAATATTGAATTTATAATAGTAGGACAATAATATTAAAAAATTGAGTGGATAATATGGAATTGTTACTTGAGATTGTTTGATTAGTTGATTACCATGTTTCAACGTTTGTCACTCCCAAAGTCCAAATATCTTATTCAACTTTGATAAACGGAACTTCATTAATTTTCTATCTTTTTTCTATTTTTTCACGCGATGTCCGATATCCATTTTAAATTCAATTGAAATGCTCCTTAATAAAAACGACTCATATTCAAGATTGAAATTTAGACTAACTTATCGCTCCACTATAACCGTTGTTAGTTATTAATTTTCTATCAATCTAATTCAAAGTTCCACAATCTCCTTGCCTTGTCTTAAATGTCATAATGCAAATTTTGACGAAAAAGAACTTTGAAAAATGACACTTCTTAAAATTTCCTTTCAATCTATTCCAAGTTTCACACCTTCCATGCCTTATCTTAAATGTCACACTGCAAATTTTAATAGATTTTTTTTCAAGGAAACATTATTAAAAATATTTTTATTCAACAACTTATATATCCATAATGTTGGCTTTTGTACCCCCCTTAATTAAGATAATCCTTAGTCCCCTTCAAGTAGTTATTCGGGTCGCAACCTATCAAGTCAAAATGTTTGTTACATGAATCACTATCACGACTTGAAAATCATGATGTATTCTTTCAAAGTCTAAGTGTCTAACTACTATAGTTTTAGGTCTAACTAATCTAAGCTCTAACGAAAATTAGTTGCTTAGAAATCAAATTGTTTAAGCAAATACTTCGTTCAGTTCATAATAAGTGACTTTTTGACATTTGATACACCCTTTAAGAAAATACTAACTCCTAAAGAAAAGAAAAAATATTGACTAAATTACCCTTAATTAAAATTTGCATATTGTTACCTTGGCACATTGAGATATGTAAATAAGGGCAATTTTTTTAAAAAATAAAATTATTTTCTTCTTGATTATGTAAAAAGACACTTATTTTATACCAAAATAAAAAGGCCACAAAGTCAGGTAAAATTCAAAAATAGCCAGATTTACAAATGGTAATTGAAAAATAGTCACAGTTTCAGAAGTAATCGAAATTTAGCCACTTTTTATGTAAAGATAAATCTGAACGAAAATACTATTCAAAATCCGGAAAATATTCTAGCATAACATACTGGAGTTCGAATTTTTTACATGTGAACTTCCAGCATAATATACTGGAGTTCCACAGGTGCTCCAATTTCCAGTATATTATGCTGGAACTTTCCGTGTGCTGGAGTTCCAGCATAATATGCTGGAAATTCATAAATAGTTGCACCAATCTCCAGTATATTATGCTGGACCTTTTCGTGTTGCAGCAAAATAGTGGCTATTTTTCAATGACTTTGCAAACGTTGACTATTTTTCAATTACCAGTCCGAAAACTGGCTAGCCCATACTATTATACCAAAAAAGTCACTAATTATAGACCGGAGGGAGTAATAACCATTATGTATACGTATGCCTCAATCTCAAACAAGTTGGAATCGGCTATATGAATCCTTATTGGCCGTGTTTTCCATTTATATTTTTCTCTTGCCAACATTATATAAAATAAAAATAAAACCACAAATACGAATATCAAGTTATAATTTAAAATGAAAAAAGAGAGTCAAAGAGTGGTCTGTGGTGTAGCTAAACCTATATATTGGTTGGGAGATGGTTAATTACTTAAAAGGTAATTATTGGGCATCTTGGTCAGTTTTGTTCAACCACTATACCAACCCTTTGAATTTTGCCTTTCTTTTAAAGTTTCATGGACACAGATTTTCTTGATTTTCTCAGCTCTGATTTATTGCTTTTCTCTTAACTAATTAGTCACTTATTTTATAAGGAATTCTCTTAACTAAGTCACTTGTCACCAATCTGAGTTTTCTTAGGGAGAAAGTTGGTCAGAACTAAACAACCCCACGTACCTGCTTCCTATTTTGGCCAACCCCATAATTCTGATTATATGGCTATACAAGACAACTTCAAATTAAAGAAACACCATACATCATCAAATCAAATGTGGATTTAGAATTTAAAATTTATCAATAAATGATTTCAAGTTAAATATACGATAATAATTGATTTTACAGTGAAATATCTATATATATTTAGTAAATTTCTTAATAGGGATCTTTACACTAATAGCCGATTATATTCATTGTTTACTTTTTCTAGTCATATACGTAGTGTGAGCACGTGATTTTTGCCCTATATGAATTACTCCTATAAAATCCAAGAAAATAAATTTTTCCAATTATTTGCCATTTTATAGGATTTTTGTAGAGTTTTATTAATTATTTGCATTTTCTGTGCACGTTTTATTAAAAAATGGAAAATACCAAAAAATTTCATACATCGCATATTAGATTTTGTGTTCGTATTTTAGGATCAATTGGTTAATTAACTGCTCTTTTAAAATGAAAATCACAAAAAATATTATTCATTTTACATTTTTTTAGCTTTTAAGTTTGGATTAGTAATTCCCTCTTTATTAATGTAGTATTAATCAATTGGTAAATATTACAAATAGATGATTAATCTAATTTTATAATTTAGGATTAAAGTTAGGATTAAATTAATTTAGTTAGGATTTTTAAGTTAGAGAAAAGAAAAGAAAGGTTAGTTTTTTTTATTTGGGTCAGCCTATTCTTTTCCACCCCTTTAACCCACCAGACTGACTAACCCAATCCCCAAATATGACCCTAATATTAGAAAACCCTAGTCTTATCCCCATCCCAACCCAAATGGCGCTCCATCTTCATCTCTTTCATTTGTCGCGCCCAACATCACCAGAACTCACCTCTGCCTCGCCCGAATTCGCCCGAGTTCACCCCAAAAACTCACCTCACGTGCTCCAACCTCTCTCCTATAGCCACGTAGCAACCAACTCTGACAACAAGAAGATTCCTTCCAGATATTTTACGCGCCTTCAGCTTCTCGATTGATTTGCTAGATGAATGGGGTCGTGGATGTATGAAAATCAATCTATACCCTCCATTTGTCCCAAAAATCGTTCACAAGGAATAAGGGATTTTTCGAATTTGAGGAGAAGATTCGAGAATTTTTTAGAGGTGATATAAGGTGAGGATGTTCTTGTTTGGGTTGGGGGGGGGGGTTCTTCTTTTTTGGGGGATTTTTGAGAGATTTCTTTAAGAGAAATTGAAGGAAGAAAATTAGGGTTCAAAACTTTCTTCTTCTTTTCCATTGTTCTTCTTCATTTTCTTATACCATAACAGAGAAAAAAATATTATTGAGGTTCCATGATTTCACTTGGTGTCAGTTTATTTAGCATTTCGAAATAATAGAGTTTTTTTACTTCGATTCTGATTTTTGGGCGAACAATGGAATTCGTCGAGAAGTGTGAATCTGTTGCTTTTTATTGAGCTGTAGTTGTCCTCTTTGGTTCTGTGGTGCTTTTATTCTTCAGAAACCAGAGATTCATTTTCCTTTTCCTTTTGCTGTGTTGCTCACGAGGTATGAAACTTCGATATTTTGTATCGAATGTATTAAGAATGTTACAGCTTTGAGAACTTGCATCTATGGCATGTTTAGTGGTTAATGAATCTATCTTGTCGTGGTTTTCCGTCTCTGAGTTCGAATGAATATCTATTTTTGTTCAAACGGATATATGTTGTGATTGCATAGTTCACCTGAATTATGTCCTGTTACTAATGAATTTGATTAGTTTTTGATGTCTCTGCAAAGCTTTCTTGCTAATGTTGTTTGAATTGCACTGCCATATACGGCCTATGCATATCTTTAGGTTTAAATGAATCCAATCCATGCTATGTTGCAGCTGTAGGTCTGTTCTTATTTGCAAAGGTTTGAATGTCGATTCATGTTTGAGCTAACTCTAAATGATGTCTGAAATGCTGTTTGCCTTTCTAGGTTCGAGATGCATTTTTGCGTCTGAATCGTATGCTCCTGTTTGCCTTTCTAGGTTCGAGATGCATTTTTGCGTCTGAATCGTATGCTCCTGTTGGCTCATTATGCTGAAATTTGTCTCAAAACTAGATTTGTTGTGCAGTGTATTATGTTTGCTCCTGTGAAATCAGCGATTCCTGCCCCAAATGATGCCTATGTGAGGTTTGTTGAAAGCTGTTGTTGTTGAGCTTGGCTATAGTTTGTGGATTTGGCCACTGATTGGCCAAAATCAACAAGTATTAAGTCAAAATGGACATGTCGTTGGTGCTGTATTAGAGGTTGATATTTCTATTGTGGTGGATTAAAGCTTGGGTGAATAGACTATATTCACTTTGGCAAGTATTCACCAATACATCATTTTCATGAGGAATTATAATAGTAGTAGTTAGTTTCGTCTTTTGAAGTTTGGATTTGACTTTATTTTTGGATTTCCAGGTTATTCCTCTATTGATTAGCCACTGTTCTTCTACATGATCTGTTTCTTTTTAACTTAACTCGAAGCCTATTCTTATTGGTTGGATATTGGTAGTTAGATTTTGTTGCTTAACACAAATCTGCATGAATCATGTATTGACTGTTTGTCATTTTGTCCAGATTTTTCATAGATTAGAATCATGATTTGGGTAGTTATGTTTCAATGTGGTAAATATGTTAATTTGGTCTTATGCTCAATGTTGTTTTGTTTTCATAATTAGTGTTGATTTGGGCATATAGGGTGAATTAGGCCAGGCCCGTGAATGGCCCAAATAAGGCTATGAATATGAGCTTGAATTCTTTCAGGCCTTGAGCCCAAGAATTCGACTCAAATAAATCATGTGGGCTCAAATTGGTTCCCCTGTGAGCAAAAAACATATTTGGTTTATCAGAAAGCTTGGTTTCGAACTGACTGGGCCTTCGCGAAATTTGCCTGATTGAGGACGTTTGAAATCACAATTGCAATTGGTTTTTAAATGTATGCTAAGTTTGCTGCATGTCAGGGCTTTAGTGTTTCAGTGATTCGATTAACTTATCTGTTATCGATTCAGCAGTAATTGCAATGCACATTATTAGTAAAATAAAGGGAGAATCATCCTTAAGGAATATATTGATATTCGTAGAAAAAAAAACATTTAGGTGCGTTTAAAATACTATTGTGATTGTGTACACATTCGCGTGACTTAATTACGATTCTAAAAACCAATTCGGAGTATGTGTTCGTGCAACTTCGATCAAACTTTCTTAATAATAAAATTGGTTTTAATATGCCGCTAAATTAAAATTAGGTTCATATAGTGCGAGGCGCGCCATCCACAATTTAATCATACATGGCCCTCGTATTACTTTCATAACCTAGATATAAAAATGACAAATGTTCGTAGTTTGCTTTAGGCACATTTAATATACTATCGTGGTTGTGGACACGTTCGCGTGACATGATTACGATTTCTAAAAACAAAACCGGAGTATGCATTCGCGCAACTTTGGCCAAACTTTCTTGATAATAATAAAGCGTTATTAATTGTGGACACATTCGCGTGACATGATTTTTGACGCACCAAACAAGTGGGTACACGTGCACGTGACCCGTTTCAAGATAATTTCTTAATTAAAAAAGACAAATGCACATAGGTTCTAAAATTAGTAATTAGACAATTTGATTAAGCCAAGTATGATCAAAGCGACCGTGCTAAAATCACAGAACTCGGGAATGCCTAACACCTTCTCCCAGGTTAATAGAATTCCTTACCCGGATCTCTATGTTCACAGACCGTAAATAGAGTCAACTTCCTCGATTCGGGATTTTAACCGGTGACTTGGGACACCATAAATTATCCCAAGTGGCGACTCTGATTTTTTAAATAAATAATCCTGTTTTGATTATCACTTAAATTGGAAAAAACTCTCTTATATCCCTTTCGGGGGTAGGAAAAAGGAGGTGTGACAGCTCTGGCGACTCTGCTGGGGATCGAACCCAGAATCTCTGGTTCAGGGTTCAAGAATTCGAGCTTGTTAATATGATTTTTACTTGGCTTCATTTGTTGTTAATATTACTGTATTTTGTGAACCTTTTGTGCTAACTGCTGTTGTTTACCGTTTTAATATTATTTGAATTGTATATAACTGTCTTCCTACGCCACCCCTCTGAGTCTTTTGAAAATGGTGCACACGTTTGTGTGGCCCGCTTTTTCTGTAGAAGTCATACCAAATAGAACGAAGCTGGGTCAGAAATAAGGCCGGGTAGACTTTAGTGCTCCCGGTATATTGCCCCCTTTTCAGCTCGAGTTGTCCGCTCGGGTAAGCCAGGTCAAGAACACAACCCCAGGTTTAAACTTAGAATAACATAACTTCATGCCGGATCCCTAGTAGGAACGTTTGTTGCATCACATGCATTTGACTTAGGGGACTCAACACATGGATTGGGTCCGTCTAGAACAGGTGTACCCCAAAAAATAAAAGACCATCCTGATGCATCGTATGTGCTACATGTTGCAATCTTCAAGGGTAAAAGGGTCATTTGGCAGACCAATGATGGCTGAGGATGAATGAGAAAAAAAGAGGGTGAAGTGTGAAAATATAGCAAGTAGGGTCCAATTATGTTTTCTGTCACATGTTTGTTAAGAAAAAAAACATGAAAATTTCAAAAAAGATTTTGCACTTTTTCATCATTTTTCGAAAAAAAAGGGAAAAGAAAATCAAAAAAGAGTTTACATGTTTCATCATTTTTCAAAAAAGGAAAAAAACATATTTTTCTCTAAATTAGTTATTTTTTTAATTCTCGCCCGTATCCAATCTGTCCGAACTACGCATACATGATTTTCGTCTTTCGGGGCGTGATACGTAGGCAATCCACATAGGGTCCGGTCTTCTTAGTGAGTCTTAGGTTCTTGGCTTCGCAGGGTCTTAGCCAAATCTTGCACTTTTAGTCACTTTTAGCCACATAGGTTAATTTTAGAAAAAATAGTCATAATCATGTCTTGCATGTGTCCAACAGGAAGGGTTATTGTCTCACATAACATTCTGGTCTTTAACTTTATTTGGTATTAATTTTCTCATACATGTGTGGATTTACTTACCGGAGTTTGAGCATGACAGATGCCCTAGGACCATCCCGTCAGGATTGCTCATTCAGGAGTTGCTTAAGGAAATTTTTTTAGTTATTATGTTTTGAGTCTGTTTTTCTTTTTATATCGTCTTTTACCTTCTAGTTTTGTACAGTAATATCGAGTCTTTTGGTATTGTATTTCCTATTTTGTATTGAAAAAAGATGTGTAATAAACCAAAATCCAAAAAAGAAAAGAAGAGATTTTGCGTTTTTATATTTCTGTTATATGTTTTCTTTAGAATACTAACTCTAGAAGTTCAAAAAAAATCTTTTGTGGTTTTCCTTAGGAAATTAATATCTAGAACTCAAAATAAAATAAAAATTGCTTTTATACTTCCTTTAGTATATTAAGACTAAATTCAAAAAAGAGAATTTTCTTTTAGTACCTCTTTAAAAAGTTTTCTTTAAGGTATTAATTCTAGAAATCCAAAAAGATTTTCTTTTGAGGTATTTCTTTGGGAAATTAATGAAAAATGAAAAAAAAATCTTTTTATTTTCATTAGAACTTTAGGATATTGTACATAGAAGAAAAAATATACTTTATCCTTTATTTATCTTTAAAGTTTCTTCCTTAGGTAATCAAAAACTGAAATCCAAAAATATTTTTTTATCTTGTTCATTTCTCGTTTCGAAATCTTTCTTCAGGGATATCAAATGAAAATTCAATATATATTTCTTTGGTTTATTTTTAGATTTCTTTCCTAAAAAAAGAATCAAAAAATATTTTTCTCTTCTAGTATTTTTTCCTTAATAATTTCCCATAGAGTATTTGCTTCAAAAAGAAAAAAAATATGTTCAAGTTTAGAATAGGTTATAGAACATTTAGTCTAAAAAATTCAAAAAAAAAGGATTTGCTTCTTTTATTTCTCTTTTCTCATCAGAGTAGTCATTAAGGTAAAAAAGAAAAGAAAAAAAAAGAAAAAGAAAAAGAGAACATTAGTTTGTTTTCTTTATTCCCGATCTTTCTGAACTACGCAAAGATCTGATTCATGCGGCGTCATGATACATAGGCAACCTACATAGGGTTCGATCAAATCACTTTTTTTACTATTAAAAGAAAAAGAAAAAAAAAGAAAAAAAAGAAAGAAAAAAAAAAGAGATGAAATTATGGGATGTGAGAAGGAGAGGAAAGAAAAGAGTGATAATTAGGAAAAAGAGGAAGGGAATGAGCAAGCTGAGAAGTGCTTGAAAAGAAAAGAAAGAGAAGACTGAAATGAATGATTGTGATGATGCCATGATGTTAGAAACGATAACTGTGACTAAGTGCATTGCACATAATGTGAGATTATCTTATGTTAAATGCCCTAACACTAACGTGATGTCTTCATTTTGTTCCTCTTGTTATCTTCATTATAGTAGAAGGGTGGTTGGTTTGTGGTTCTCAAAGTAGTGACTCTTCTCTACAACAAAAGGTCGAAAGGCAATGACAGATGGCAACGGAATTGACTCGGTTGATACTAGTGCCCAAAAGCAATTGGTTGAACAGGGCAATGGGTTGGTTGAAGAGGTAAGGATGTTAAGACAACACATGGCAAATATGTATCAGGCTTGGATGACTGGGAAGGCACCACCCCGCCACCACCTAGCTTCTTAGATGCTACCCTTACCCAAATTCCGGTCATAGTGCCAGATGATCCCCCATACTCTCCAAATCCACCCTCTTATTACAGCTTTCCCAACCACCCTAGTAGCTCCATCACTCGTCCTCCAATTACCTTTCCCCAAAATTGCCCTCCTGTCATATCCACTATCCCCATGATCACAATTTCTCAACAATCTTCCCTTCATGGATCCAAATGAACACCCACTCAAAGCTCCTGATGCCCAATATTACCCCTCAGAAGTTGCCCACAAGGTTCCTGACTCATACAATCAGAGCCCTCGGAATGAGCCTCATGTTGAAAATGAAAAGTTCACAGGAAAAGAAGGGCGAGATGAGATATCTAGGAAGCTGAAAAGTATAGAACAATCCTTAAGGAGCATGCAAGGGATGAGAAATCAGATTAACATGTCTTACAGTGACTTGTGTATGTTCCCTGATGTTTATCTGCCCGCGTGATTTAAAATGCCAAAGTTTAACTTGTATGATGGACGTGGAGATCCGGTAGCCCATCTAAGGGGTTATTGCAGTGAAATGAGAAGTGTTTGCGGGAAAGACAATTTGTTGATGGCATATTTCAGTGAGAGCCTGACTGGGGACGCCTTGGAATGGCATATACGTCAAGATGTTAGTAAGTGGAATACATGGTATGACATGGCTCAAGATTTTGTGCGACACTTTCAGTACAATATAGACATTGTCCCAGACCGCTCCTCCCTATCTCAGATGGAAAAGAAACCCAAGGAAAGTTTTAGGGAATTTTGGTTCAGATGGAACGGACAAGTTG